TAAAGCAATTAGAACTGTACCTAGTACCTAGAAAGTGTTCTGTAAATGATCACTAAATACAATGGAACTCATTTTCTAGTGAGGGAGTCAGACAACAAATAAATATGAAAATTACAGTCTAGTCATGGGGACAAACACCAAGCAAACAATTCACAATAAAATGAAAACACATCCACTCCTGTCAGTGGCATGCCAGGTTATTTGGCTGAATTCTCCTGTTGGAAACAGTTGGGCACCAAACCAATTGTTTTGGTTTCCTCCTGGAGAAAAGGGGACAGAATTACAAGTGAGTGAAGGGCTCATCCAAAAAAGAGCAATTAATAGAACATCCTTCCCTTGATAAGCATTGGCCCCCAAAGGGCTATACTATCAGGGTTTGGGCAGTCCAGAAGTCAACTATGCTCATCCCCCCAACAGGTTTTCATGGAAAGTTAAGCTAATTTGGAGCAGAAAAGATCTGGGGAGGGTAGGAAGGCTTGTCCCAGGTGTGACTATAGGCTAACAATCTCTTTTTTTGGTTATCCCAAAACATGACTTATACTAAGCAATGAACTTAGTAAACAGTGACCCCTAAGATCTTGAAAAAAATTTCTAGAAAAAGTGACTTTTGATTAGGTCTTAAATTTTCCTACAAATAATTTTTTAAGGAAAATGAGGAGCATATAATAATACCCAAGAATACTAAGAAACCAGATTCAGAAAACAGGGGAGTTGGGAAGAGTCAGCTGGTGTTGGCTGAATTTCAGAGAGAGGCTGAACTCCACAAACTAGCCTTACTTAGGTCTAGTGTGAGACTGACATGACTAGTAACATTTTGTGACTATAGTTTTTATACTTCTAGACATGTACTCATGTTACCCTGACAGGGTACAGGATGAGATGCTACGAACAGCAGATTCCACCATCAGGCATGGGTGTGATGTCCTCCCTTTAAAAGTTTACAAACTAAATCCAACAAGACCGATGTGAATATACAGAAACAAGAAAAGAAGTATTAAATTACCAGTACATGGATAACTATAAAGGAAAAGGCCATGGGAGCAGTGAATCTAATTTTCAAAGAATGGAAGAGTCCATAAAAGAAAGGGATGATAGAAGGAGAAAGGGAGGGTAAGGAAGGGAAGGGAAGAGAGAACGTGAATGGAGAAAACGTGAAAATAGGGAGCAAAAAGAGTAAAAGGACTAAACACCCAAACATCAACCATGGTCATTCCTGGGTGAAGAGTAAGTATATAAATGATCTGTATTTTCTTCATTTTGATTAGCTGTATGTCTTATATTTTCTCATCACATGTTTTCCTTGGCCTAGTTGCCACCATAAATGCTTTAAAGAGAAAGCAATTTCTCAGCCTCTGATGCAATGCCAGATTTACTAAAATTGCAAATGCCAGGTTTAAATTTTAAAGTTTCTCTTTTAATATCTAGTATGCAAACCTTTCTCTCTAGAAATTCATTTTCTGTTGTCTTTTAGTGTAATCATTTATTGCACTTAAAGGTCACCTGAGAAATAAACAATATAATTTTTTTAAAAAAGAAGCTGGCTTTTCTCAAGCCATCAACACATTTCTGAAAATTTAAAAATGACAAGAAAAAATTTTTTTTTGTAAAACAATATTTACAAGAAATGTAAGTACTGCCCAATCTAAGCATATTTAAATTCTGTAACATTGAAAGTCACTACTGCTCACTGGGTAGATAAATCAACTTTTAAATGTATCTACACTGTATTCATGACTTATCAATGTAGAGGTTTAGGACCCCCCCCCCCAAACCCCACGTTCTCCTTATAGAAACAAACAGCAGGATTCCTAGATCAATAGTTATATAATAAAACCATATTTGTTTAACATTAACTCTCTTTCCCTGTTTTTTTTGCATGGGATTGGTTATGGAATTTTTTACAAATTTAAACAATTCTAAATTTAAAAATGGAGAAAAATAAGTTTTAATTGTTTTTATTTAAAACTGTCTTCAAAAGTCAAACTACCATGATATCTCAGATAGCCTGATTCACCTCATCTTTTGGATTTACCCAGCATTTTGGATTTACCCACGTTTGTACACATACCTTTATCCACTCATTTCCTTAAGTCCAAGCCTTTTCTTTCTTTCTTTCTTTCTTTTTTTAAGTCCAAGCCTTTTCAATAAGAGTGCCTTCTTTTGCAGATGCATCCCCTGACTCTAAAAACTTCCCCATTACTTAAACATTTCATTAAATCATTCTTCCAGGAAGAACTGTTCAGACTGGTCAGGAAAAAATGTGACAACACTATCTCTTTGCCTTTTGAACAATATCTATTTTTTCTATAATCTACTAGATTATATCAAGGAGGAATGTTTTGGGCTGCAAGTAACAGAAAACTGTGGGTGTAAAGCTGTGGTTAAATCACAGGAATCCATATTATCTCACTGAATTAGTAGTCAGGAGATAGATCATTCCAGCACTCGTTCAGGGGCTCACCTGTATCACAGAAATGCTTGTTCTATCTGTCCCACTCCCATGTCATAATCCTGAGTGTGCTGGGCTTTATTCCCATGTCGGTTGCCTCACTGTTGCATGATGGCAGCCGCACACCCTCACACTGTGCTGCAACATAAGAATCAAGGATATTGCAAAAGATGTTCTTCTGTCAGAAGGCTCTGTCCTCTGTTCAGGAGGAAATATTTCCAGAAGTCTTCCTTATAGCCCCTGAAGTCAGGAATGGCTCATGTGCGTGCTCCTAGTTACAAGGAAGTCTGTAAAAGTATTTCTCCTCTAAGCCTTTAATTGAACTCAGGCTCCTCTTTTGTATGAACTGGAGTGAAAGTGTGTCCTGTTGATTTTACCTCCTAAATCTCTCTGGCATAAATCTCATTCTCCTCAGTGGTGAAAGAATCTGCCTGGCAATGCAGGAGACACAGGAGATAGGAGTTCATTCCCTGGGTTGGGATGATCCCCTGGAGGAGGAAATGGCAACCCACTTCAGTATTCTTACCTGGAGAATTCAATGGACCGAGGAGCCTGGTGGGCTACAGTCCATGGGGTTGTAAAGAGTGGGACACAACTAAATAGAGTGACTGAGCATGCACACATTCTCCTCACACATTCTCCTCTCATGCACACCATCCCCACTTCCAGCACTCTCCCATCAGCCATCAAAATATCCCACCTGAAGTATTCCACCAGTTCCTACCTGGTTTTCCCATACCCCCATCTTGTCCCCTCTTCCATCTACTCTGTACAGCTTCAGTGATATTTTAAATGCAAATCTTACCATGTTACTTTCCCTTTGATGAATTATGTTCAAAAATCCTACAAGTGACAAGGTCCTGAATGGTCTGCTCACACCACCTTTCTAGCTTTGTCTCTTGCAGTGCTTCAGCTCACTTTACACTCAGATCACACTGGCCTCTTCACTCCTTAAAAATCCTGAGCTACTTCACAGCTCACGGTTTTTGTGTGTGCTCTTCCCTCTAACTGAAGTGATCACCCATTCTCTATCTCCCTAGTCCCTTCTACCTCATTTCTTCTTAGTTCTCAGGTCTCCATTTTAATGTTTTTACTGCACTCAAGGGTTATGTGTAAGGTGTTATCAAACCAATGAAACATAGAAGTATTCAAAAAGTTGTTAAACACAAATGGGAGGGATGTAAGAGACTGAACTTGTTTAATTTCAGCAGTTGGATGTTGATCTATTAAGAAAATGCTGACCCTCTGTTCAGTCATGCTAGATGAGGAGCCTTTTGGCAAGACTCATTTTCTTTTCCTAAATGTGTTTTTTCCTTTCACTCATTTGATCAACAAACAACATAGTAACCCAGCTCTACCACTTTCGAGTGGTGAGGGTTCCTCGGACAGGGCCTTCTTCCTTGGTACAGTGTCTTCTCTGTAACAGAATGGGACTATGACAACTTGTCCAGTCCTCCTCTCACAGTTGGTGGCTTATCTTTGTTCCATTCTGGTGCTGGGATTGCAAGTTTCCTCTCTAAAATTACTTACAATAAATATACGAAAATGCATCACTTTCAAATACATGCTGCTGTGGTTATTTTAAAAATCCAAGAATGCTAAACTAAGAAGTTAAAAATATAAAGTATTTGTATTTTTACCATATTTCATACATTGAAACCATCTATAAGAATTTCTATTCATTCCAAATTTTACGTTATGGAATACTGAGGTATCATGTCCTGTTCTGCTACTGTCACCCCTTCAGAAAGTCCTCAGAACCAACATGCTAGGATGTCAGCTGCTCCAGTCCTTCAGAGATGTTATACACCGAGCTCACGGAGCAGCAAAACAGTTCTTTGGAAAAGAAATGCATCCTGGGAGATGAAGCCGGTTGCAACTCTGCCTTTATTAGTGAAAATTCCCGATGTCAAAGCCTTTCTGTCCAGGTAACAAAAACCACCCGTTTGTTCCTGGGAACAAAAGCCTCCTGAAACTTGACCGACAATGGGCAGGTTCACTTGACTTCCAGCTCTGGGCTGGATTTGTACTCCCCGAGTGCAGTGACGGTCCACGGACTTCCAGACCCGAGAAGAGTTAATTCCCATGCTCACTGAGTCGTGCTAAGAGCCCGACACTGAGGGGCAAGCTGTGGTATAAGGTGCCGACGAGACCCCCGAAAGCCGGAGTCAGATCTCCGGGGTACAAATCCAGCTCTACCAGGTATCAGCTGTGCAACTTTGGGCAACCCTTTACCTTTCACAGCTAAGTTCCCCTCGCCTGTCAACTGAGGATAATCATAGTTCTTACCTCCTAGGGTTGCTGGGAGGAGGCGTAAATGAGTTAATCCACAGAAAGCGCTTGGAACAGCGCCTGGCTAGCACATAACGAACTTGTTAATGTTACAGTCTTTCGACCCAGGGCGCCTGCAGCTCTGCAATATTTTGCCTGAGAGTTACAAAACTTGAGATTCCAGGAGCTGAGTGGCCACAGCCTGAGAACCAGAGAGTAAAGGGAAAAAATTGGGGTAGGGTCAGAGGGAGAACTGCGACTTTTGTCCACCGGCGCCCACCTGCAGCCTTGATCTCCCGGCCTCCGTTTCTCCTTCCAGGAGTCCGGCTCCGGAGCGGCGCACACAGCCTTTCTCCAATCAGACATCCTAAGGCTGGCGCCACGTATGCGACCTGGTCCAATCTCGTCCCTGGAGGGCGGGAACGCGAACTTTCTACCTGCACCTGTGGCTGCAGTGGCCGCCTCCTGGGTTTTTTTNCATAAATTTTTTTTTTTTTTTTCTTTTTTTTTTCTTTCTTCCCGCTGCCCCGGAGTTCTGGTTTCCAGAATCACTTGGCGAATAACCAGCAGGTGGGCAGATGTCTTCTCCCGCGCTGGACCGACGCGGTAGGGAGGTTCAATGCATCGTAGTGAGCAGTTGAGGTTCCATTTTCCGACCCTCCCGGGCGGTGCTACCAGGAAAAAGGGACGCGTCCGAGAATGAAAGACTACTAGGCGGGAGAGCTTGCCTGACCATTCACCTGGGGCAGTGAGCCTGGCACCCACTCACCGCCGGGCCCTCCAGCCGGATCCAACCACACTTGGAGCTCCGGGCTACTGTCGCCGCTGCGCCAGGAAATCGGAGGCGCCAGGGGAGACGAGCCGCAGCAATCGGCTTAGCTGGACTGCAGCGATTTCGGCTGGCACACCTTTCAGAAAGAAGCCCGACCTCTAAGACCGCACAGAGGGACGCCGCGCCCCGACTTCCAGATTAACCCAAGCGCACGCACTCCCGACTCTGCCCGGGGAGAGAGGCGCGGAGCCACGGGGTCCAGGGAAGCCTGAGCAGGTGAGCGATGGGGTGATTCTCCGTCCTCCAAGCCAGAGTTTATTCCGGGGTGTCACCCTGGGGAGCTCCCCCAGCTCCCGAGGAGTTGTTAGAAGCAGGCGTTCTGCGTAATTTGCAGTCTTTTCCACGAGCAATACGTGCATAGCCCTTCTGTGCATACAAAGTTGATTGTGGAGAAGACAGCGTAGGGTAGAAGACAGAAAGCGGCATAGCCACCACTATCACCACCACCACCATCAGTGAACAACTTGGGGGTGCTTTTCCGATCTATAAAGTGGAGGGAGAATGGATGTTTGCAAACCCGTTGCAAACTGTGCCAGAGGGTGTGGGTGCCTTCAGCAGGGAAACAACTTTTGGCCATTTCTTTCTTCTATTGTTTTCAAGTCGCAGCCCGAGTTGTGCCCTCGGGGAGTCTTGGGGAGGAACCGCTGCCAAGGTCTCCCAGCTCAGCCGAGGCCGCGGCTGCCTCTGGCGTAGGCGTTCGGGTTCTCTCTCTCGGGGCGGTTTAGGGAGGAGAGCTTCTAACCACAAACACCGCCGAAGTTTCGCTCTCCAGCGCCGGCGAATCCCAGGAGTGTCGCGCGCGTGGGATGGGAGGCAGCCCAGCGGAAACCTGGAAATGAGCCGCGGCGCCAGCGAATCCTACTCATTCGTGGAGTTAGTGCGGTGTAGACCCAGCACAGAAAGTGGGCCGAGAAGTCTCGCTTCTGATATTCGCACCTTAAGTGCTAGTAACACTTTTTGCCTTTTCGTTCCGCTGTGTGCTGTTTTAAAAGCTGGGAGGAGGGCAGATTGGAGTTCCGTTGTGCGCCCTCTCCTTTGGAGGAGGGAATTGCGCAAGAACAGGAGCCTTTAATTTGAACTAAAAATCCCGAGTTGAGTTGCCTAGTACACACAGACTCGGTGCATATTTTAATACAGAACTAAGGAAAGAGGTACTTGGGCTCATCTCAACTGCCGACCGGGGGTGGCTTCAAAGAGACGCAAGATTGGTCTTTGGGGAATAAAAGGAAGAGTAGGACGGCGGTTTTCAAGGGAAGTCTAGACATGCTTCTCTGAAAGTCACAAGCCAGACGTTTTGTCAAAAGCAGAATTTAAAAGAAACAAAACAGAACACCACGAGCTTGTCTCTCGCCCTTGCTGGTCTGTAAATCCCCAGCCCCCGCCCTAGAAAAATGACATCGAAAAAGTATCCCGGGAGAAACGTCGAGGGAGCAAAAAGCTTTGAGGGAAATTTCGGAACTGTCTGCGGTCTACTGTTCGTCCTCACCTACAGCGGGGACGCGCTTGCGTCCGGGCGCCCTCCTCCCACCTGTCGTTGTGGACCGGGTGGGTCACCTTTGGGTGTCGTTTACAATGGGGCAGACTGACAGGACGGGCCTTTTTCCTTCCAGGTCCTGGTTAATCCAGAAGCCCCGGCACCCACCCCTGGGTGGCCCTCGAGCGCGGACCACTGCCCTATCCTGGAAGCCGGGGAGCGCCAAGACTCGGTCTCCAGACCAGAAGGCGGCGCCGGGGAGGAGGTTCGTCCCTCTGCGCTCTGGGGGGGCGCGGCAAGGCGCTCTGAAAGCTGCGGACCATCCGACTCCAGCCGATCCGGTGCCCGCCAGAGCACAGGAGAGGAAGTGGGATTGGGGCGCACGTGACTTCGATAAACCCAGTAACCAAGTTTTGTTTTCTTCCCCAGCACAAGCCGCTGGCCTCTGCTCCCAGCCCGCAGCCCGCTCGCGAGAGGCCGGGGCAGGGTCGGGTGGACCCAAGAGCAACTACTGCCGCCAAGGCCCTTCCCCGCGCCCCGCGCCCCGCGCCCCGCGCCCAGCGCCCCTCGGCCGGCCTGCTATGGCCGACGGCGGCGGCACCAGCAGCTCGGGCTCCTGGTGGAATTCGCTAACGAACAGCAGGAAGAAAAACAAGGAGGCCGCCGTGGGTGCGCAGCCGCCAGCCCAGCCTGCCCCGGGGGAACCCGCGCCGCCCGTCCAGGACTGGACGAGCAGTTCCCGGGAGAATCAGCACCCCAGTCTCCTCGGGGGCGCCGGCGAGCCCCACAAGCTAGACAAGTTGGGCGGGGAGAAATCGGGCAACAGCCGCCGAAATTTGAAGATCTCGCGCTCAGGCCGCTTTAAGGAGAAGAGAAAAGTGCGCGCCACTCTACTCCCCGAGGGAGTCAGGTCCTCGGAGGAAGCCAGCTTCCCTGGTGACCCCCACGACGACAAGCAATAGCCCGAGAGCTCCAGGACTCTCCTCCCATCACACCTCCTCAGTCCCCAGTTCTAAACCCGAGAATTCTGACCCTCCCTGTACGTGGAGTCTCATCCCACCAAATTCAGAATATTCGCACCAGGCCTCCAGATTTTATTGTCCTGGAAACTGACGTGACAATTGAGTGTTCCGGTAGTTCACGACTCAAGGATGCATTAAATATTTATTCGTGGTAAGAGAAGATACCACAGAGGAATCTGGTATAATTTTTTTTTTCCGAAAAACTTACGTGGCTTTTGCGTCCCCCATGGAAATGAGAAGGGTACTTCTCTAAAAGACCTTAACTCAACTGAAACTGTGCAGCCTTCCAACAAGGATGGCATGCTCTGATTCTGGACTTGCTATTGGAAAGCAAATCCCAGTGCTATCTTTAATGAGAAATAAAAGAAATGCACTTTGGGAATATTTCTTCAGGCTTATACCTTAAGTGAAGGGATGGCAGAGAGCAGGAGTCATTCTTAAGTAGAAGCATTTTAAATAAGGCAAGATTGCTTTTAATGTTGACCTGCTAAACTGTACTGCCTATTTTAGCGAGGACTATTAAAACTGTTGCACTGTAAGACTTAAGGTGACTTGTGTATTTTTTTCCATTGCAAGACTGAAACCCATCATACTTAAAAGCAGGTATGCAAAACCCAAAGTGACAGAGTTAATCATTTGCCACATAACCTGAGAGCTCCTCTCAAAAAACTGCAGAGAGGAGAACATGTCTAGAAACTACCAACACCCAGACTGGAATCAGTTAGCTGGATATTCCTATTTATCAACCAGATTGGAGGAAAAGAGGGAGAGGTGTCAACTCATTATTCCTACATTTTCTTTTTTACTTCAGTGCACCTTCATAAGGTAGAATAAGTCACTATGCTAATAACAGCTCTTTTAAGTATCTGTTATTAACCTGACTCACAATTATCTAAAAATACTTATTCAAACAGGGGGACTGAACTCTTAAGTTTGTGCAGAGCCAGCTTTTTTCCCCACTTACTTTGCTTTAAAAGCTAATTTGTTTATTCTACAGTATAAATTTATCTAGTTGCAAAACCTTAAAGATCTACCAACCTGAAGATTTTTAACAAAAATCTACCTGTTTACTTTTGTTACAAACTTTAAGTAAAAGAGTAAATGAATACCACTAGCTTCCAGCAAATTATAAGAGCGTTATTGTAGTTAAGATCCCCTGGGACCTTTTCCCACCACAATTCAGCTCATTTATAAACATCTAGAATGCATGGGGGCTTCCCAGGTGACTCAGTGATAAAGAATCTGCCTACCAATGCAGGAGGCACTGGAGACAGGATTTGATCCCTGGGCTGGGAAGATCCCCTGGAGGAGGGAATGGCAACCCACTCCAGGATTCTTGCTGGAAAATCCCATGGACATAGAATTGTGGGGGGCTATAATCCATGGGGTTGTAAAGAGTCAGACACAATTGAGCATGCACACACCCCCAAGAAATGCATAGCAGGGAAATTATAATGATCAAAGTATATATATAAATATATACATAATGCGGATAATGAGAGACAAGAGCTTGATTGGAGCTTCTGAATTTATTATATACAGTTTTTTGTTCTCTCAAATTCGTAACTTATAACAAAGCATGTTGATTGTCTAAAGAGACTTAACAAAGAAACGTGATGAAAATGGCTTAAGTGGATTTAAATCAGTGAATCAAGCTTGGATATCAGCAAAGTCATAGAGTGTACCATTTGATCCATGAGCACATAACTAAAAACTTAATCCAAAAGAAACTGTTTTTGTGGGGATTATGAACGCCTTACCTTCTTAAAAGGGAGTTTGTGAGGTGGTTTTCTTTTTTTTTAATCATGAAGTTTTTTTGGTTTTATATTTGGTACTTGACCAACGTCTCATCGGGGTGAGCTTTCTGAATGAGAAGGACGTTACAACAATTTTAAGAGGGCCTACCTAGTGGCTCAGATGGTAAAAAGTGCCCACAATGCAGGAGACCTGGGTTCGATCCCTCGGTCAGGAAGAGTCCCCTGGGGAAAAAAATGGCTACCCACTCCAGTATTCTTGCCTGGAAAATCCCATGGATGGAAGAGCCTGGCGGGCTATACCCCATGGCATTGCATAGAGTCGGACATGACTGAGAGACTAACAAGCACATACACACACCTACCGCCTCTAGACTTTAATGAAGATGAGGGAGTCAGGATCTTGGACCCACAGAAGTTCATTGTAAGGGAGGAGATTGGGAGCTGACCAGCAGTGGGAGTGAACAGAGCAGAAACTGTCAAATCAGGCTTTGAAATACCTTCATAAAATATTTTAATTTCTGTAAGTAATCAAAATTAGAGTGGATAACTACCCAAAATGCTTTTCTCCTCCTAAGAAGACCAATAGATTAGATCTGTACCCATTTATAAAATTAAGCTGGCCATTGTATACTTTTAAAATCTTATACTAACTTTCATCCATAGTTTTAATGTTTTAAAGAACTTTTCTTTTCTTAAAAATTCCTTTAATTCACAAAACATTGGCATTTTCCCAGGTTCTGTGTCTAGTTTTGGATCCCACAGAAGTCTATAATTGCCACAGATTACCAATATCAGACATATAGCAGTGGAACTTATTAACAGAACATCCTTCCCCACAGTTCTGAAAGAATTTAAAACCATGCTAATGGCAGTTATGACAATGAGTGCAATGTACAATTGTCAGTTGAGGTTTGTAATTACATAGTTTTAAAGCAGTCCTAATTATGCAGTGAGAGGAATTCACTGATTTAATCCCAACTCGGAGAAATAGAAACCAAGCAAAATTGGTGAGATACAAAGATCATGAGTAAGATGAGATAATTTGGCAAAGTGTCTTTGCTGGGATTCATGTGCTCTGCAGATGATTAATTACATTCCCATAACATATATACAGATTTTGAAAATGTGTAAACTTCAAGATATTTTATATTAAATAAAGGGAAAATGTTTAAGTTTGGAGTTAATTAGGTTAGAGACCTTTGTTCTCTTAAAGCCCTTGGCAAATGAAATTTCACTCACAAGTTTGGAAAAAATTAAAGAAATTCTCATGCCATGCTTTCAAATTATGTGGAAAAAAGGGACACTAATCTAGCAGTGTGTTTGCTAAGTATTTTCATAACCACGATAATTATTAATATATACACAAGGTAGTTTTGGTCCCAGTGACTGCCCTTGCAGTCGGTGGCCAAGCTGTAACTCATATTACAGGTCATTGAAAGTCCTTTTATGTTCCTGCTCTGTTGGTCACCCCATTGTGACTTGCATTTCAAAAGCAGAGACTCTGTTTTGTATTCACCTAGGACATTCTGGTTTATCTAACACTTAGAAATAATTTTTTCTGCTTTGAAATGTAATGCAAACCCAGAATGCTGATATTGCTGAGTCCTTAGAAGGGAACTAAAAGCTTAATGAACAGTAAGTTTGAAGGCTGGAGCTTTGTCAGATAAATAATATAAATAGGCAGAAATAATTTCAAGTAAAAGGCTAACTGGAGGGATTTTTTGGTGGTCCAGTGGCTAAGACTCCCTGCTCCCAACGTAGGGTGCCCAGGTTCGATCCTGGGTCAGGGAATAAGATCCCACAGGCCACAGCTAAGAGTTTGAATGCCATGACTAAAAGATCCCACATGCCACAACTAAGACTCAGCACAGGCACACAATAAATAAATAATTTTTTTCAAGGTGAACCAGAAAGGAATAAAAGGGGAAAGTGGGGCAGTTAATATCCAGTGATCACAAGGCACATTTTATGAGGAAAAGAGAGAATATTATTTTTCCTTAGCTGAGAAAAGTCACCAGACCAGAAACAAACACAAAAAGCTGGCTTGATAATGTAAGGGTAAGTAATCTTTAAAAACTCTATTTTACCTGTGGAGCATTTTATGATAATTACACAGAAATGTAAGAGACTCATGGGATAAGTATGAGTTATTATCTCCACAGTAAGTAGAGAATGAGACTAGAGATTTTTATACCCTTGGGTGTCAGTATAATACATATCTTAGAATAGAAACAAGTGTGCAGCCCAGAACAAACTTTGTCATCAATAAGCTGGCTGTCCCATCATAGCTTTGTTCTACTCATTTGTTTTCTATTTCTCTAGCCCCATTCACCTTGCCTCAGAGCCATGGCAAGTACATTCCTATCAGGCTCAGAAATGTGGAAGAGGGATTGCTAGGAGGCACAGGGCCCTCCCCCAGCCTCCTGCAGGCATGGCATGTCGACAACCACTTTGTTGAAGGATGGCCCTGCATATGGGATGAAAAGCATTCGTGGTGAGAGAAGATTATCATTTAGGAGACAAGGTTCTAAGAAAACTTCACAGGTCTTGCCCTAGCAGAGGACAGCTGACCACTGTATAGATGTGGTAGTAGCATGCATGCATGCTAAGTTGCTTCAGTCATGTCTGACTCTCTGTGACCCTTTGGACTATAGCCAGCCAGGCTCATCTGTCCATGGATTCTCTAGACAAGAATACTGGAGTAGGTTGCCATGCCATCCTCCAGGGGATCTTCCAGACCCAGGGATGGAACTCATGTCTCTTATGTCTCTCTCCTGCATTGGCAGGCAAGTTCTTTACCACTAGAGCCAACTGGGAAGCCTAGTAGTAGCTATAAACCGTGATAAATAACAAAGACAAAGGATATCAGTGATACTTCCAGGTATTCAAAACATGGAATTCAGCCATTCTTCCAAACCAAATTGTGCTGCAGATGACAAAGTGACAGATTCGTAACTATCATATCAGAGTTGCTGACATAACCTCATGCAATTAAAAAAAAAAATAGAGTGTCTTTATTGTTGGCATCTGTAATAAGACTGCTTACCCACAAGACAAAAATTTCTGGCCCTTAAACTAGAAAGATTCATGTTGAAGAAGATGAAGATTCCTATCTACCTCTGAAAGGAACTGCTGATTGACCTGCTGGTTGAGTAAGGAATACGGGCCCATCTGGGACCTCCCTATGGTTTTTTGAAAGGATATCCCTTGAGTTACAAGTACCCTGGATTATTCTTTTATTTTTCTAGTGGCAGTCAACAAGCATGCGGCTCAGATGGTAAAGAATCCACCTGCAATGTGGGAGACCGGGGTTTGATCCCCGGGTTGGGAAGATCCTCTGGAGGAGGGCATGACAACCCACTCCAGTATTCTTGCCTGGAGAGTCCCCATGGGCAGAGGAGCCTTGAGGGCTACAGTCCATGGGGTTGAAAAGAGTCGGACACAACTGAGTGACTAAGCACAGTGCACAAAGACCGCACCAAAGAGCGCCTGCAAAATCTTCCAAAACACCTGATTGTAATTCCCTCTCTCACTTGCTCTTAGATGAGTCTTCGATGAACTGGTGTCAGTTTGCTCTTCTGTAAAATGATGAGATGGAGTCTATATTCTCACTTTAAATCTCTCTTTTAGGAGCCTGCTACTTTTAGCAACAGGCTGTAAAAGCAAACTTATACAGTGCTCATTGTTTACTATAAAACACAAAGGCACCAGCTTTCTGGCACTGATGGTAGGTGGGGAGCTGGGAGGGAGGTAGAGAAGTGTAAATTGCAATGAAGCTACCACATTATC